TATGCTCTATCATTATAATAGTACATATAACAATGACATAATCAATGATCTAATTAATGATAACAATAACTGTGAATAATGATTCAGTTCATTTTAATTGTATTTATACAGCGCTAAATCACAACAACAGTTGCTGAGTAACTGAGTCCCAGGGCTGACATACTTGTTATACTTGCTATAGAAATAAAGCGATCACCAAAGCTTGAAGTGAAAACACAAAGTCGGACACACTCGAGTGTCGCACATGATACAAATTCTACTTGTAAGCACAAATTGTTTGGATTTTGTTTTATCAGTGCATTATTATGCACTGATAACAAAGTGACATATTACCATCTGGTTATAAATTGATGGTCTGCCAAAAACTAATTTCTGACATTTAAACTGTTGTGAATGACACACTGGCGTTTAATCTGATGCAAATTTCTCATGAACGAAATCAAAAATTATTTATTTTATTTTATGCTATAAAGAACATTTCTTTCAGAAGCTACAGCCACAAAGACACTGGTTTCTTTATTTTATATATGTGACCACTTCATAAATCCTACTAACACCACGGCATTTACCAATATAAGCAAAGATAAGAAACACAAAAAGTGAGGAGAAATGACTCTTCAGTTTGTGTGGCTTTCTGTCGCCCTCTGTTTTTCAGCTGTGAACATAAAGTTTTGTTTCCGAGGAAAGGAAACCTTTCTTGCTATAAAAATCATCCCATTTCAGAGCAGACGCAGAGCAGATAAAGACATGGACCCCGGTGAGTCATTTGAGTTGCTGTGCATGAATCGTCTTTGATTTAAAAAAATTATGGAATGTTAATGTGTGTTCTTATGTTGTGTTGTAGTGACAGCTGTGTGCAGTGCTGCAGGAGCAGGTAAGCACTTTATTTAATTTTAACTCATTTGAATCAAAGCCTGATCCATGTCTGATCCATGTCTTCTTCCTGCAGTAGGTGCCGTAGTCGCTGCTCCTGCTCTTCTGGGAGCTGCTGGTTTCACCTCAGCAGGAATAGCTGCAGGCTCCTACGCTGCAAGCATGATGTCTGCAGCTGCTGTGGCCAATGGAGGAGGAGTGGCAGCAGGAAGTGCAGTGGCTGTTTTGCAGTCAGCAGGTAAAAATAAATAAATAAATATTTTACCAGCAATTACTCAAAAACCTTTATTATAAACCTGAAATATCCCAGAAACAATAACATGTGACTGTGCTGCAGTGAGGATAATACGACGGACTATTAGGTCCACGTAAAGAAAAATATTATCAATCATTTTGAGAATAAAGTCGAAATGTGGAGATTACAAGTGTCTGAAGAAAAGCTCCCACGGTTGCTACTGTATGTCATCAGAGTTTGTGAGTGCGATCTGAACAATATATAACCCTGCCCACTGGTGAGGAATTGCTCCTGTGATTATTGGTCACTCAGCCAGTTTGTGAAATTTGGTTGCTTCAGAATCGGGGGGGTTTAGTAAGAAAGAAGAATGATTTTCTTTAAGCTCTATTTGGTTATGCACTAGTGTTGCTGATGAAAGTGTTAGGCTGCTACAAAAAAGTTTTATGCTGTCTCGTCAGCTGCGGCAGCCCGTAAGTAGTGACCAGCATTGCTCGAGCAGAATCTTATCGATGGTTACTATGCCTCGATGCAATCAAGACCGGTACCCCAAGAATGACCACCTATTCTTATTTGAACTGAAACCTTTTTGTGTTTTGCAACGACAAAATAACGGAGCTACCCTCACAAACTCCCCCAGATATTTCTACTCTCCATATCACTACAATAATAGTAGAGACATAAAGTGTATCTCCTTTTAGTCGGAGTTAAGGTAGCCACTAGTATGAGAGAGCAACGTGTTCCTCCTGGTTGCTCTGCGTATTACCCACAGAGTGATCTGATTCATGTCCTGATATCATACCACCAGCACTATCCAAGATATGTGGCGCTTTGCTAATACATCATCGCCTCAGGGTTAGGAGAGTGAGAAGACCGTAACTCTCTCCGTCTTCGTGACATTATCTTCAATTTTATGGCTTTAATTATCTATATAATCTAATCATGCATGGAAAAGGTTCATCGATCAGCGTGTTTACATTAAGGTCTGTCTGAATAGCTGCCCGTTCCTTATCTACTGACATCCTGCCGCCCCTAATGTCTAGAGTCCTGTTGGCTCCACCACATCACTGCCCAAAGCATTTTTCCAGTGACCCCAAATTAATGGTCTTACTGTTGGAGGGCTGTAGTGCCCGCATGCCGCGCTATGGATGGAGCGTGCTCTCATCTGAGACCAGGGATATCTATAGTTTATGTATATTTATTCAGTATAATAGCGAAAGAATAACATATAATTTAAGTACATAAGTTATATATTACAATAAAACGAAAGTGAAATTATACATCCCTCTCTATTAAAATTATTGAGCCGATGAGCGAGTTGTCAATAAGTCCATACAAGCAGATGATACTATGCGTTCAGACATAGTACTATGGCTGAAACATGGGCGTGTGAATGCTGTTTATTTGTCGATGATATTCCACTCTTAGACGAAAACACACACCTCAACCCAATCCACCTTGTTGGTCCACACGATAGCAATATGAGTGAGCTTAGACAAAATAGTTTTAAATAATATGCCATCCTAACTAAGAATCCCTCTGAAAAAGCGAGTTTTAAAGTTGTAGTTTCCATATGTTCTTAATGATGCGTATTTTAATTTTTGCGCCAGTTATGGTAGATAAACCATATATTATTGATAGTCCACTGATAGTCCTATAATTATTCTCCTAGATAGATAAAATAACGACATACTACTCCAGTTCACTCAGGCTTTAGGATCTCTTTCTTATATCTCACTAGACGTGGTGCGAGCCATGGGATCCTCGCGTTGAGATGAACAAAGCCGTAAGCCCCATTTTCAAATGCCTATCTCATAATCATACAATATAAAGTTCAATTGGCGATGATCACCTAAAGCCTTGAAGTCACAAGAAAGAAACATACGCTCAAACTAAGTGTTCGAGGACATGCAGCTTTCTGGAGTGGTAAATTAGCACTAGTATTTATCTATATTTCTCTACCTGTTACAGTGTGCTATACCAATTTTTTAAGATTTCCTTCTCCTAAGTGCGTGCGAGTTAATATACTTGATAACACACACGTGCACCATCCCATTACACCTCTGGCTCTTATAAACCTTGATCGGTCTGCCAAGGAACTTATATTTCCGACTCTATTAAACTGTGTGTCGTGCGAATGGCAGCCACGAGCGTAGCGTTGTGATATACACTCATCCGCCACTTTAGATTTTCTCTATGATGATATTTTTACATCCTAAACCACCTCATAGGTGAAGATCGACACCGACATTATCAAATATTCAAAATGTATTCATTTTTATATAATCTTTTCCTTTGTATGCTAATGAAGTCAGATGTCTTTAACTCACGACGGCGTGTACTGTCTCACAAAGCGATTGCTCGAGGTGTTCTTTATTTTATACAGTGTGAGACCCACTTCATTAGAGAGTCTGCTCAAGCTACCCTAAAATTGATAGCACTATGCAGGTGTTTGCGTGTGTAGGCGTGCTTCTGTGACCTCCAGCGTTCGGTATTAGCTGCCAGGCTCCCTGCCGCCTGCAATGCTATCTCAGTCGTGTCTGCGAACCATGCTTGAAGTGGTCTCTGTATAGTCTGAGGAAAGGAGAACGCGTTTGCTTTCTATTAAAATCAGCCCATTTTCAGCAGCAGACCGCAGGACAGGAGCGAGCAAGTGGTGTGTGCTGCCAGTGCGGGCTACGTGTTGGTCGGTGGCATGTGTCTAAGTCGAGCAGTAGAAAATACTCAGAGACAGCGTGATAAAATTAAAATATACTTAATGTTCTATTATCGCAATTATATTTTCACTATGACTAAACACTATAATAAACCCTAAAAGAATCCCAGAAACAATAACATGCGAACTGTGTTCGACATCTCAATGAGAATAGTCCGAATTAAATTCTACCTCCGAATGTGAACATAATATTGACACTGATTCGCTCACCGTATATACAGAAATTAATATAATATATGCCTAACTCAATTTTGGATGATAAATAACGATACCGAAATAATCGAGGAATGGATCTAACCTCCTAATTGTGCTGAGTAACAAATAAACTAAGTGGACCTTAATGATTCAGTTCACTCCTAACACCTCTGTAGTTTGTTTGACAGCGCGACTCTAAAGAGTGCGCATCATACTGAGTTAGACATGTTAGTGCTTCAGAATCCATTAATATTTACTATAGAAGAAAGACCACGAAATGGAGCTGTTATTCATTAAACTGTTCTACACTATAATGACCCAGTGTGATGATAAGTGTTAGCATATGACAAAATAAGCCAGCCGGAGTCTCACCAAAGCATTTACAGGAAGCTGAAATACCACAAAGTCGGACACACGCTCGCAGTGTGCGCTTACATTGCTAGCAATGAGGTTTTATACTACCATATCCTCGCTAGCACAACTTTAGTAAGAGATGTTGGTTTTACAGATGTCGAAAAATAATTGCACTTGATATAACAACAAAGAGTAGCCGAGGCAATTACCATTCTGGCTATCAATATTTATGATATTTCCGCAACGTGATCCATAGCATTAATCCTAAACTAATATAATTCTGGGAATCATATATGTGTTATAAAGCCTGGTGTGAATGACCACAGTGGCGGTTTAATCTAGTATATAGCAGCGACTATTGTCTTCGCAGCTTGTATAATTAGAACCTCAGATAAATGAAGTCCCTAAATTCCATAATCATACTATTTCTGTTTGATTGTCTTCTATTTTAATTCTATACATCACGTACGAGTATAGTCCTATTCTAAGAGAGCCTCTACACCTCCCATCACATCACTGGTTTCTTCTGTGATTTCAGCTCAGTTACTTTCTATATCATTAGTGAACCCTAGCTTCACTCAATTAGTCAGATCCGCTCTATGCGGTTAAGCACTATACTCGAGGCGACCCTTGTTTTTCCCATTCCTCCGTGCACATGAGATAAAGTAAACTACGAACAGATACTGAGTCGTAGGAGAGAGCCAGTGGACTCCCCATCTCCAGCGTTAGCCCGTGGGTACCTGTGGAGGGGCTGTTGGAGGTAATGGTGCTGCCTCTCCATAGTGTGCCTCGTACTGATACGCCAATACGGTATATTTCACTTTGAGATAACATACTCAGAAAGTGTAATTAAATTTCGAAAGAAGCCAAAGGAAGCCTATTATACATTAGCATGATAAAAAAAATCATCCCATATTTCAATATGTCAGACTGCTCACGCCAAGTTATAGAAGAGACACTCACAGATCCCAATGTAGGAGGTTCATTGAGGTTGTCTGCCGGTATGCAATCTGCTCTTGTAATTTAGAACCATGAGAATAATAATTGGCCATGATGTATAATGTTTTCTTAAATGTGTTGTTGTATGACAGGTACTGCTCTTGCTGAGCGGCAGTAGCATTAATCAAAAGCACACTTTATTTAATTGTAAACACTCATATTGGAATCCAAGCAATCTGTGATTACTCATTATAAAGTACTCTCCCCCATAGTATCTGATACAGTCAATCCTTTTGCAAGTTGTGTTACTGGGTGTGCCGTAGTAATTCGCTGCTACCTTTGTCTTCGTGTCTTGTAATATGATTATGCTTAATTGTATCTCGTATTTCTATTTCACCCTCGAATACAAATACCTAAAGACGGAATAGCTTGCAGATCCATTAGGCTCCTACGCTGCAAGCATGATGTCTGCAGCTGCTGTGGCCAATGGAGGAGGAGTGGCAGCAGGTAATAAGTGTGGTGTATCACTCAGTTGGTATAGCTGCAGGCTCCTACGCTGCAAGCATGATGTCTGCAGCTGCTGTGGCCAATGGAGGAGGAGTGGCAGCAGGAAGTGCAGTGGCTGTTTTGCAGTCAGCAGGTAAAAATAAATAAATAAATATTTTACCAGCAATTACTCAAAAACCTTTATTATAAACCTGAAATATCCCAGAAACAATAACATGTGACTGTGCTGCAGTGAGGATAATACGACGGACTATTAGGTCCACGTAAAGAAAAATATTATCAATCATTTTGAGAATAAAGTCGAAATGTGGAGATTACAAGTGTCTGAAGAAAAGCTCCCACGGTTGCTACTGTATGTCATCAGAGTTTGTGAAATTGTGCTTCAGAATCGGTTTTAGTAAGAAAGAAAGAAATGATTTTTCTTTAAGCTCATGAACACAGTGTGATGATAAGATTGCACATAACAGTGAGTCTTCAGAATCGGTTTTAGTAAGAAAAAGAAATGATTTTTCTTTTAGCTCATGAACACAGTGTGATGATAAGTGTTAGGCTGTACAAAAAGCTGCGGCTGGTAATGGACAGATGCGAGGTTATCGATGGTTACATCCTCGTGCAATAAAGAGGATGAATGTTGTATCACAAGACGGCTGATCAATTTGTTTCACTAACTCATCTAAATAAGGAATTTTCTTTAGCGGATATAGCGCATGTGGCAGCTTGTGTTCAAACAGTAATGTCCATATCAACAACATTTCTGTTGTGGCTCTAATACTCCGTCGTAGGATAAAGCCTCCCTCTCTCCTCTGCAGCTCAGTTACTTCATCTAACTGCTTGATCAGCTGTCTGGTGTTCTGAAGCCTGTTTTCTCTCTGCAGGATGGCAGGTCTCAAATGAAAGGCAAAAATGACATATTTCTTCGTCTCTGTGCTACGTTTTATGCTTAGGCTGGTCTGGTCTCGCTCTACTCATCTCATGCACCGGTTAACCCCCGTTTCCATACATAAGTTCGGAGGAGGCTCGATCATAAGAGGATAATTGGCGTTGGTGCCTATCTCTACTTGTGTGAGTGACCGAGGCAATATTTATGATAATCTCACTTGAGAATACCCACCAAAAAACCCCACATAACTCGTAGATAATTTGACTATAAGCTCTCTTTCTGCCAATGCACTAGCATATCATGCAGGATATTAGTGTGTTTACTGTCAGAGGACATACGGATAGACACTCTTCAGCACCTTCGCTTGTTACTGAAAACATTAGTGCATAGCCCTTGCTGGAATAATTTGCTCATGCGAGTGGGATCGTGTATATACGAACAGAGACGAGCAATGCTCCACGGGAGTACGGAGAGCATAGCTGTGCAATTTTAAAAAATAAAGCCCTAACTAACATCTGAAAAAACTTTTAAAGTTGTGTTTTGTTTATTTTGCATTAGTTATTGGTGTGGCAGCTGGACGTGTGGTGGCTGTTTTGCAGTCAGCAGGTAAATAAATACTTAGATGTTTCATTAGGATTTTAACTTGTAACAAAGAAAAAGTTCATGAAAATATCATAATCTTAGATTAGATAATGACACTATGCTCTATCATTATAATAGTACATATAACAATGACATAATCAATGATCTAATTAATGATAACAATAACTGTGAATAATGATTCAGTTCATTTTAATTGTATTTATACAGCGCTAAATCACAACAACAGTTGCTGAGTAACTGAGTCCCAGGGCTGACATACTTGTTATACTTGCTATAGAAATAAAGCGATCACCAAAGCTTGAAGTGAAAACACAAAGTCGGACACACTCGAGTGTCGCACATGATACAAATTCTACTTGTAAGCACAAATTGTTTGGATTTTGTTTTATCAGTGCATAATAATGCACTGATAACAAAGTGACATATTACCATCTGGTTATAAATTGATGGTCTGCCAAAAACTAATTTCTGACATTTAAACTGTTGTGAATGACACACTGGCGTTTAATCTGATGCAAATTTCTCATGAACGAAATCAAAAATTATTTATTTTATTTTATGCTATAAAGAACATTTCTTTCAGAAGCTACAGCCACAAAGACACTGGTTTCTTTATTTTATATATGTGACCACTTCATAAATCCTACTAACACCACGGCATTTACCAATATAAGCAAAGATAAGAAACACAAAAAGTGAGGAGAAATGACTCTTCAGTTTGTGTGGCTCTCTGTCGCCCTCTGTTTTTCAGCTGTGAACATAAAGTTTTGTTTCCGAGGAAAGGAAACCTTTCTTGCTATAAAAATCATCCCATTTCAGAGCAGACGCAGAGCAGATAAAGACATGGACCCCGGTGAGTCATTTGAGTTGCTGTGCATGAATCGTCTTTGATTTAAAAAAATTATGGAATGTTAATGTGTGTTCTTATGTTGTGTTGTAGTGACAGCTGTGTGCAGTGCTGCAGGAGCAGGTAAGCACTTTATTTAATTTTAACTCATTTGAATCAAAGCCTGATCCATGTCTGATCCATGTCTTCTTCCTGCAGTAGGTGCCGTAGTCGCTGCTCCTGCTCTTCTGGGAGCTGCTGGTTTCACCTCAGCAGGAATAGCTGCAGGCTCCTACGCTGCAAGCATGATGTCTGCAGCTGCTGTGGCCAATGGAGGAGGAGTGGCAGCAGGAAGTGCAGTGGCTGTTTTGCAGTCAGCAGGTAAAAATAAATAAATAAATATTTTACCAGCAATTACTCAAAAACCTTTATTATAAACCTGAAAGATCCCAGAAACAATAACATGTGACTGTGCTGCAGTGAGGATAATACGACGGACTATTAGGTCCACGTAAAGAAAAATATTATCAATCATTTTGAGAATAAAGTCGAAATGTGGAGATTACAAGTGTCTGAAGAAAAGCTCCCACGGTTGCTACTGTATGTCATCAGAGTTTGTGAAATTGTGCTTCAGAATCGGTTTTAGTAAGAAAGAAAGAAATGATTTTTCTTTAAGCTCATGAACACAGTGTGATGATAAGTGTTAGGCTGTACAAAAAGCTGCGGCTGGTAATGGACAGATGCGAGGTTATCGATGGTTACATCCTCGTGCAATAAAGAGGATGAATGTTGTATCACAAGACGGCTGATCAATTTGTTTCACTAACTCATCTAAATAAGGAATTTTCTTTAGCGGATATAGCGCATGTGGCAGCTTGTGTTCAAACAGTAATGTCCATATCAACAACATTTCTGTTGTGGCTCTAATACTCCGTCGTAGGATAAAGCCTCCCTCTCTCCTCTGCAGCTCAGTTACTTCATCTAACTGATCGATCAGCTGTCTGGTGTTCTGAAGCCTGTTTTCTCTCTGCAGGTATGGCAGGTCTGTCTGGGGCCGCCACCGCAGCCGTGGGTACTGTTGGAGGGGCTGTTGGAGGATTGGTGGCTGCTCTCATCTGAGACCAGGAAATTATGATAATCAGAAAGAAAAAAACAATAATAGTAATAAATGACATATTTACTGCTGCCAATTGGAAACAGTTGCAATAGTATCAGCGTCATGCTTCAGCAAAGCTTGGCTGAAACTTGCTTGCTGGTAATGCTGTGGTGTTTTATTACAAAACACATGGACACGGACAAATTGTGCAATTTTAAATAAAGCCCTAATAAAATACTGAAAAACGTTTTAAAGTTGTGTTTTGTTTATTTGCATTATTATGGTTATATGTTATTATTTATTTATGTATGTGTTATCTTAAAAAAATAAGACATGTATCATTATTTTTATATAACTGAGTCCCAAGGCTGACATACTTGCTATAAAAATAAAGCGATCACCAAAGCTTGAAGTGAAAACACAAAGTTGGACACACTGAGTGTTGCACATGATACAAATTCTACCTGTAAGCATAAATTTTAGATTTTATTTTTTAACTGCATTATTATACTGATAACAAAGTGACATATTACCATCTGGTTATAAATTGATGGTCTGCCAAAAACTAATTTCCGACATTTAAACTGTTGTGAATGACACACTGGCGTTTAATCTGATGCAAATTTCTCATGAACGAAATCAAAAATTATTTATTTTATTTTATGCTATAAAGAACATTTCTTTCAGACGCTACGGTCACAAACACTGGTTTCTTTATTTTATACATGTGACCACTTCATAAA